GTGCGAGGCGTGTGCGAAGCGTGTGCCTGCGTGTGCGTGTACGTATGCGTGTGCGTGTGCGTGCGTGCGTGTGCGAGCGTGCATGCGTGTGTGTGTGTGTGAACAGGAAGGATTGATTCGCACGCATAAAGCCCCTTGCACAATGCCAGGCAACAAGCAATAGGATCTGGAAATAACAAAAAAATGGTTAATTATAATCTTAAAAATTTGTTGACAACGGGCAATAGGCACAGAATTTCCAACGTGACGGAAACTCTGTGTCTATTGCCTGTGTCACTGTTTATTTTACATTTATACATGATTTCTGATTTCTATTCCCTGTTCCTATTGCCTGTTGCCTGGCATTGTGCAAGGGATTTTATCCTTTAACAAACCTACGAGTTTGTTAAGCTCGAGTTCGTCGCTGGCCGGTATTCATAATCAGAACATATTTCAAGACCGTCTTAAGTAATCTCTTAACTTAAAACGTTAATACGGCTTTGTGATTAGTTAATGACATCTTAAGATTGTACTTAAGACGGGTCTTAAATATAAGAACCGACAATGAATACCGGCCGCTGCGGACACACAGCATACCACACACTCATTAACATACATTTCTGACTTTGTTTTCCAAATTTTATATTTGATTAGTGCGTCATCCGATATTTATACCCTTGAAGTAAACGTGTATCTCGAGCCCATTTAAGGCATCAAGGTTAATAATAAGAGGAAGTTAAAAATAAGGAGAAATAGTATAGCTGACCTTCCAGTAAGTACACATTTTTACTTTTTTTATTACGTTTTTTTTATTGTATTATATCAAAGTTAAAAGCTTCTTTATTGCATCAAAAATGTAAAAATATAAATTTTTGACATTTGCTCAGATTTTATTTTTTTTTGTAAAAAAAAACTGCTAAAATTATTCTTTTTTTTCTAATTTATTTTTTATTATTTTCTTATATAAAAATTATCTAATTCATCATCATCATCATCATTCATCATCATCATCATCTAATTCTATTATCTTCTTCGGTCTGTTCTACCTCTATTTCATATATAATTTTTCTTGTACTTGATTTTTTTTCAGATGCAGTGTCAATGTTATAAGCGTAAGCTGCGCAGAAAAATAGAAAAAGAGAGACAGAAAAGAATTAGACATAGTGAAGTAAAGAGAATATAGTGACACAAGTTCAGAAATCATTCGGAGAGGAGTCAAGTGAATCAGATGAAAACTTAAATGAAAACTTAGATGAGTCATTAGAACCTGAGATATTTTGTGAACAAAATCAGGAAACCGTGATTGCTTTCAATAGATTTCCGTGCGACAGAATTGAACATGCAAGAGAATCTCACGACTTTGAGTATGAAATAAATAATGATAGGTTTGTTGCTGATTTGTTTATGTTGCATGGCGCTCTTACTATCCTTTCCAGTCCCATGCTTGTTCAGTCAGAGATCATGTGTCATTATTCTAATGATTTGCTACGAGCATTTATTAATCATTCTATTGTAATTTATGGTAAAACGTTTGTAGTGTATAATGTGCATTCACTTTCTCATTTAACTCAGGAATATTTGTCTCATGGAGCATTGGATAAATTTAGTGCCTTTCCTTTTGAGAATTATTTAAAATCTCTCAAGAGTTTACTTAAATCAGGTTACAAACCTTTATAGCAAGCTGCGCGTCGTGATCTAGAAAGAACTGTATCAGTGTCAGTGCATCTTCCAACTAATGATAAAGAAGTTACTTTGTCACGTAGGCATTATTGTGATGGCGAGATCATTGATGGTTTTTATTTTCGAAGTATTTTTATTGGTAATGTTGTTTTACAGGTTGGTCAGAGAAACTCTTGTTTTATGACAATTGACGGAAATATATTTGTATTGTTAAATGTGAAAAGACGAGAAGATATATACCTAATTACAAACAAGTTTAACAAAAAAGAAGATTTTTATACATATCCTTTCCCTTCATCTCTTGTTCGTATTTTTAAAGTGTCAAATTTGGGTGACCAAAGAATTGTACTGCCATTGACAAATATTCAATCAAAATGTTGGTTAATACCCTACAAAAAATTTTTTGTTTCTATTCCTCTTTTGCATTCTATGCCTATGTTTTAATTTTTTATATTTTTCTTTATATTTGTATTTCAGTTTGTCGTTTTAAAATTTTTACCTGACGATCTCAACAATGATAATATTTGCTACGATATCGGCCTTACAAAGTGGTTGATTGAAGTGAATGAAGATATGGAAGGTGAGACATATTGGCCACCGCGTAATGTTGAAGCTGGAAGCTTGGTCCGTAAAGAAGTAAATGCAGACGAAACTTGGCCCAAATATCGTGTACATGTTAAGAGATATCACGGTATGTTTGTTTTTATTTATTCGAATTTTTCTCCTTTCTCCAAATTTGAAAAGGTTTAAGTTGAAAAATATTTTTACTTTTTTTCCAGATTTGAATACTCATTTATCTAAGATAGACAGGAAATTGGAGGACTTAAGTTGCAAAATAAATACAGTTATAACGAATCAAGGAAAACTATACAGATGTTTGCTTCCTCAGGAAAAGAAAATACTGGAACCACATAACATGCCTTCTTTGCCTTTTCGTAACGAATTTTAGTGTGATTATCTTACCTCTTTTGGATCTGCTAGTGATGAAAGAAAAACTGCTACCATAATTATGCAAAAACTTATGTATAATTCTTTGGTCAAAAATTATAATTTTGATGGCCATGGTGAGAAAAGAGGCTTAAAAACACTGCAACTGTGGACAGTTATTGAAGGTAAGATCCTAATGTCTTGTTAGTTTGCTCTCTAGTTAATATTGTCTTGTTATCTTTTTTGAAAATTTGGAATACTTTATATACCAACAAACTCTGAAATAATAATCCTATAATTTTGATATACATTATACTTACTGTACTGAATTAGTGTACTAAATTACTGTACACTACTGTGTTTATATTCTTGTTGCGGATATATTCTTTAATTTATTTTTGTTGTTTAACTTAATATGGATGTCTTATCCTTTAATAATTTAATTATTTCTTGTTTTGCAGGGTCTTTGTCACTTAAATTTCCGGACAGCGACCTTGATACAGCACTTAAAACCATAAAGTCATGGTTACGAAATGCTAGCGGTAGGAAACAAGAGGAATATATTGGCTCTGATAACCATTAGAAAAACATTTCTCTCTTTTGTTGCGGAGATCTCAGAGAGTCGGCGAGTCTCGAAGGCGAAACTTCTGCGCAAAGTGGTAGACGAAATCCACCGTGATCCGCAACACCTTATGCTGACGACGGATTATATTCTCATTGTATTCGCCGTTCCCTTCGATCATGCCTGTGACAGGATTGCTAAACCACTCTTTAAATTCGCGATGAGACTGGAAAACGTTAGGCATAAGAAAGTGCATGAGCGACCACAGTTCCATTAAATTATTCTTGATATTTTGCGCCTCGTCTAAGATAAGATATTTTTATTTTTTCCGTGTAAAGCTTTGGTAATCCTGTATTACTAACTTTAGCTAATAAGTAGCTGCTAATTGGCTGTTATTAATTTATTATCTTCCTACTTTAGCGTAAATGTTAAACGGGTTGTTTCTTGTCGCTCTTCTCAAGTTGTGAGAATAAGTAAGAAAAAATTGTGTTGCTAGATTTTTATAGCTCCCTTTTTTTTATATGTATAGAATTGAGACACAGAGTTTGATAAGTACAATTGTCTATGTATGCAGGCGAACACAGGTGCAAGTTCCCGTAGTAATAATTTATGTTCTGCGAAAAATATTTATTTATAATGATTGCGCAAAAAATAGATCAAGCATCACGATGTTTAATTTGTTCATTTTTTTAAATACTAGTGTATATATAAGAAAGTCTCCTATTTTTTTTCTTTAGTAAATATGATATGTGCCGAAACTGAAACAGGAATTGTCGCGTGAAAAAATATGTATACATCATCGATATAACGTGTTGTAACATGTAACGTAAGAATATTAAACATTTGTAAGGCGTAACGCGGTTTTAATATATAGATTTTAATATATTTTAATATATTAAAGAACTTTTTTAAATTAAATGTTGTGTTCACTCTTTCTTTAACAAGACCCGACAATGTGTATTAGGTATTTTTAGGCTGGTATTTATTCCCAGCGAGAAATGATCCATCGATAA